GCTAGGCTGCTTCGATTTTTTCTCGTTCTTTGTATTTATGTTGCTGTAGGCATTGGAGAGATGTTACCTCGATCTGTCACTTCTGCTTCCCTGACCCTCCCCCGTTTCTCTGTGCTCACCCACTCCCCCTTTCTCATATTCCACTGTCTGCACGCAGCCGTGGCCCTCCTTGGTTTCGAGGCATCTGCCAGCATCACTTTGCCCTCTCCCAGCCCCACCTGTCTTCCTAGCTTCATTGCCCATCGGTCCCCTCCATCGTAGGTGGCGGTCCAGCCAAACTGACCCTCCATGCCCTTCTGGGCACCTTTGCAGGGAGGGTGCTTTGGTCCAAGAAGTCACAGCAGTGGAGAGTGAGGCTGGAAGGCAGCTGATTGACTTTTCAGGAGCAGGGGGATTGTTCCAGAGCTGAGGGCTGAGCTGGCTCTGGATGACAAGAAGTGTGCCCCTGAGGCTGCCATGCTGTACCTGAGTACCTTTTCTAGGGTAACCTGCCATCGACCCCTCGGGGAGGCCCCAGACCTGTGCCATACCCAGGTTATGTTTCAGATGTTACCCTGGAGTGACTCCCGGGTGGGGGCAACAGTCCTGAGATGCAGAGTAGCCTCGGCTCCCTAGCCTTGGTGTGACGGTGCTCCCCTCTGATCGTGTCCTCCCGGAAGGGAATGCCGGGGCGCAGGTCACATCAAAGCGAACGTGCCCAGTAGGCAGCCAGAGATCCAGGCCCGTAGCTCAGGACAGAGACTGGAGAGTCATCTGCATAGGCTGGATAATTTGATTAGAGGAGGCTCCCAGTGAGCTCATTGCAAGCATTAACCTATGATACAAGTTCTTGGGTCCAAGATATCACCCTCCCTGGGGCCCCCATTTAAATCCCGAGCCCCGAGCTCGACTTAGCCAAATTCACTTTCTTTGAGTTTGCCCTTCTTGTTCCCATCCCCTGGGGAATCCCCACACCCCGTGGGCTGCCCCTTCTGGTGGCTGTCACATCCTGCCTGCCATATTCCAGCCCCGCTCATCTTTGGGAAAGGCCAGGTGTTTCTCATCAGTAACCGTGTGATGATGTTGTGCGGGTCAGGATCTCAGCCTGCGGAGGGAAGGTCTCAGAAGGCGGCTCTGAGGACGTGGCCATCCTCGGCACCCCTGTGGTGTCTGCTGCGCCTTAGGACCACTAGCAGCTGACCACAAGGTCCCTGGCCTATCGGCCTCCCCAAGAACACTGGGGGAAGGCAAACACAGATACTCAGGGAGCCCGCCTTCCCAGAGCCGCTCTGCTGCGACACATGGGGCTGGCACGCGCCCGGCTCTCTGGATGAGGCCAGTCGGACCACACAGCTCGGCCACCTTTGGCTTGGGAAGATTGGTGCCCACACTGAGCCAGCCCCGGCATCCCAGCTCCCCACCCCTTGATGGGCCCAGCCCTGAGGGGTGAGAGGCCCAGAGAGCGAGGATTCTGATGGGCCAGGAGGCCACTGCCTCCCTCTTCGCGTGTAGGGATGCGGCTGGTGCCTGGGTCTGGGTGCAGGAGGGGCTGGGAGCCGCCTTGTCCATTTCTGCAGCTCTCTGTAACCCACAAGGCATTTTGCAGGGATGCCACGACTTTCCAGGTTCAGAAACAAAGGTGCGGGGTGCGAGTGAGGTATAGAATTCTGGCTTGAGGGCCGGAAGGGACCTTGGAGGCCATCTAAGCTAAGCCTAGTTTTACAGATAAGAAAACTGAGGCCAGGGAAATGACTTGCCCAAAGCCACACATAGGATCCTGGATTGAGAACTGGAAGGGACATACGTCCTCCTCTGGCAGAGAAGGGACTGGAGCCCCTGGGAAGGAAGGAGAGTGACCAGAGACAAGTGGAAGCCTGGGCCCTCTGCCTGGAAAAGGAAAGTGCTGCCCCCCAGCCTCGAATGCCGCAGCCAGTCCCGGGCCCAGAGTCTGGAGCTCAGCTCAGGCCCAGCAGCCTTGGGCCCAGGTCCACCCAGAAACTGCCTGCACCAGTCCAGAGCTCCCCGTTCTCACACACCGATGAGGTGAGGCCCACAGGCGCTCTCCCATCTGCTGGAGCCTGTCCTCCTCGCCTCATCACTCACCATCTTTCTCTTCTTTCCAGGCCTGTTCTGGGCTGCAATCTCCCAGCTGTGGGGTGCAGGATGCCCTGGAGTGCTGGTCTTGGCCAATGTGGACACACGGGGGGGGCTGAACTGACACATAGCGTGGGGAGCCGGTGGAGAGATTCAAGGGGTGCCAGGTGTCCCACAAGATAGAAGGTTGAAGCTGGAAAGGTGCTCAGAGATGAGCTATTTCAATAATAACAACGCTCCCACCACCACAATAATCATCATAATAAATACTTACGTGTCATTTTAACATATGCAAAGCACTTTACGGGTGTGATCTCATTTTATTCTTATTATGACCCAGGGAGGTAGGCACTGTTGCTATTTCCATTTTACAGATGAGTAAACTGAGCACGGCTAGTAAGTGTCTGAGGAGGCTTTGGAACTCAGAGACCTTATAGCTTGCTCAAGATCAGGCAGGTCATAAGTAGGCAGGATTTGAACCCAGGCCGCATGCCTCCAGATTTCTACATGCTCCACTGGGGTCAACCTCCACATTAGCAATGGGTCATTTACATCCTGTGCCTTTAGAAGACCCAGGGAAAATGGAAACAAGTCTTTTTCTTTTTCCGGGGCTGGGGAGGGAGGAGGAAGGAGTGAGAAGGACCATCAGGGTTAAGTGACGTGCCCAGGGTCACACCGCTAGTAAGTGTTATGTATCTGAGGCTGGATTTGAACTCAGGTCCTCCTGACTACAGGGCCAGAGCTCTATCCACTGTGCCACCTAGCTGCCCCTCCATTTCTTGTCAGAGATAACTTGGTCATAGACAAATCAGCTTGCTTGGCTGAGCAGTCCCCCTGCTGGGCCACTCGGCCAGGTAGCCTGCTGACCCTCCTGGAACTTTCTGTGGGCCGGTCTGGAGGTGCTCAGGTCTTCCTTGGGTGGCCTTCCATGCCATCTGCCCTCCTCACCAGCCCTTCTTCAATCAGTCAGTCAAGAAACATATTAATCACCTACGATTGTACCAGGCATGGCAAGCACTGGGACACTAGGAAAGGCAAAAACAAAACCATGGAAAGCACAGGCTTGCCCTCAGGGAGCTTCCAGTCTAATGGGAAGCAATCTGCTCACAATTAGGTCAGAACAAGATGTATGCAGGACAAGTTAGAGGAAATTAAGAGGGGTTGGGAAAGGCTTCCAGTAGAGGGGCCTTTTTTTTTAGCTGGGCCTTGAAGGAAGCCGGGAAAGCAGGGAAAGAGGCAGAGACAAGGGAGAGTGATCCAGACATGGGGGACATGTAGACGATGTGATGGGAGCAAGAGACGGGTTATCTTGTTGGAGGGACGGCAGGGGACAAGTGTCATAGGATGAAGAACGTGTGGAATGTCGGGGAGAGACGAGGAGAGAGGAGACTGGAAGGGCAGGAGGGGCTCAGCTCATGAAAGGCTGGAAAAGCCAGACAGAAGGTTTTCTATCTGATCCTGGCAGGGAGCCCATTGGACTTTACTGATAGGGTAGGGGGAGAAAGGGTGTGTGTGTGTGTGTGTGTGTGATGACAAAGTTTGCAGCTGAGAATGTGAGGGGAGAGGAGTTTGGGGAAGGTCTGAGGAGGGAGGAAGAGGTTGGGGAAACCTCTGTGAGTGGCAGAATGAATTGATTAAGGAGGTATAAAAGGTTGCCTTGCTCTAGTGAGGGCCCAGTTGAGATGATGTAACATACATTGGTGGAGGCCCTGCTCAGCTCAGTTTCCTGACTTTTCCTAGCTTGTTCAACTGCTTGAGTGGGACAGATCCAAGGTTGAAGCTTGGAGGGGCACGGTCTTCCATGGGTTAGGGGCTGGAGAGGAGAGGACAATGTAGGACTGAACTAACTGGTGACTCACAGAGTCAAGATGGGGAAGGGGCAATGGCCTGGGATGGAACTGAAGGGCAGTGGCTGGGGGGTGCAGGGCCAAGGGAGAGGCAGAATGATAATAGGTTGTGATCAGATAAGGATGAGCCCAGAGCCAGTACCTTTATGAGTGATGGGGGATCAAGGGTATGGACTGTCTGAAGTGGGTGGAAGTCATGGCAAATGGGTAAGTTCAGGAAGTGGGAGGTTGGGTGTTTGAGGGGGCATCGTCATGTATGCTGAAGGCCCTTGTTATGGGGGCAGGGGTTGGGGAGCTCCCTCAGAGCAAACAGGAAGAGAGGACTTCCCCATCTCCTGGTGACTAAATCACCTCGAATGGATGCTTGGAATTCATGGCTGACCCTCGGCTCCACCTTGATCTGTCTCCTGTCTTGTTACCAAGATGTGGGCTGCAGCAGGGGGAGCTGGGAAGAACTCTGAGTGGTGCCAAGGTGGAGGAGCTGGTCCAAGTCCTCCTGCCCAGCTGTGTGACCCTGGGTTCCACCCTCTCTGAAACTCAGATGTCTCCTTGGAATTAGAGCAGAATGAGAGGGTGGATGAGATGATATCTAAAGTCCCTCCAACTCTTCCTGCCCTGCCCTCTGCTACACTTTCCCTTCATCCTGTCTCTTGCCTTCTGTTGAGTAATTGCCAGGCTGAGGTGGACTCATCAAATAAAAAGACCATGGAAATCAGCAGAGCCCAATCAATCTTTAATGAAAAACCAACAAACATCCGGAGTCTTGGCCAGGGGGCAGAGGTTGAAGGCAAGGGCAGCTCTGTGGCCTGCCTAGCCTCCTCCGTGGCTGCCAAGCCACAGAAGGTTGGCTCCCACTCCAAGCCCAAGCCAATTAGACGCTCTCTCTCTCTCTCTCTCTCTCTCTCTCTCTCTCTCTCTCTCTCTCTCAACTCCCTCCTCTCTCTCTCTCCCTCTCCGCCTTCCTCTCCTTTCCTCCTTCCTCTGTCTCTCTCTGTCTATTCCCTCTCTCTATTTCTCCTATCTCCTTCTCCTCTCTCTCTGTCTGTCTGTCTCCCTGTTTCTCTCTCTCTCTCTCCCCCTTCCCCTCCTTTCCCCCTTCCTCTGTCTCTCTCTGTCTCTCTCTCCCCCCCTCTCATTTAGGCACCAGCACCTACATCCAAGAGAAGCATTTCCTGCAGACATCTGTGCTCAGTAGACCACCATCTAGGTATTCAGTCTTCCACTCCCCAGAACCATGACCCACCATTTTTAAATGGATGCATGAGTAGTGATGAAATGGATAAATAGTCTTTTTGGCTCCTTCCCAACTGCTGTGGGGAAGGGCTAGAGAAAGCAGGGCTTGGAATTTATTTAATGCTTGAAACAAGAAGGGCACTCGGAGCACAAGGCTTGGACTCAAGGGGAAACTGAGGCAATGTGGCTAGCACAAGACTACTTTCCATGTTGTTTCAGTCCATGGGACAGCAGGGCGGTGCAGGAGACAGGGGCCCGGCTGGAACACTCTTCCTCCCCATTTCTGCCTCCTGGCTCCTTCCAATCTCAGCTCAAACCCCGCCTTCTGTAGGAAGTCCCCTGCTCGTGCCTTCCCTTGGGAATGGACTCTCTCACCCCTCTTACACATCGCCCCCACTAGCTGTGCCCTCCTGGAGGACAAGGGCTATTTTGGCCTTCTCTGTATGCCCAGCACAGTGCCGGGCACGCAGTAAATGCCTGCTCAGTGCTGTTGGCTGGCCGTCGGACCTGGGCTTTGTACTGGGCCTCGATCCACTGTGTCCAGCTTTCTTCTCTCTGCATCAGTCAGTCACATGCTCCTTCCCAGGGTTCTTCCAGTTCTTCACACTCGCCACTTTGCTTATGGCTGAAGGAGAATTTGGTACAAGAGCGTTCACATCAAGAGGTTTGGTGTATGGGCATGAAATCCAGTTTCTTGGTAAAGCCCAAGAACGGCATAGTCATTCCCACGATGTGTGTAGACTGGAGCTGTTGAAAGCTGGCCCAACATGGTGGGCGGGGAGCGCCGGGAGAGGTGTCTGAGGGAGGGTGCTTTTTTGGGATATTCCAGCAGGCCAGCTCATAAAGATCAAGATTGCCTCAGGACTTGGCCTCCTCCAGTCGCCTCCATTGTTCAGAGCTCGTCCTTCCTTCTTGAGGCCCAGAAGAAAGACAACTTCACTCTTGGCTAACTGCCGAACTGCCTGTGTGGCTTTAGGCAAAGCCTTCTTCTCTCTGGGCTGTCTCAGTTTCATCATCTTTAAAATGGGGTAAGATGGGGGAAAGGGGAGAGTGGTTGGACCCATTGACCTCCAAGGGCCCCGCCAGCTCTGAAACCAGGATCCTTTGGTGATCGGGGTTCAGGTTCCTGCAATCACGCCTCAGCAAGGGACCTGCTGTGGGATTTCTGCTCTCCAGGGATGGCTATCAACTCTACTAGAAACACCCCAAACCCACCAACCGGTATTCGGATTCAGAGCATTTCTTCCCATGGCCGTTGCTGGCTTGGCTTTCTTCTTTCACAGATTGCCTGTTTATCTCCTTTGACCATTTATTAATCAAGAGAAAATAAATTTGTTAATTTTTAAAAATTCAATTAAATGTAGAAATCATCCCATCTCTTGCTTTCCTGTTGACTGATTGCCAGGCTGAGGTGGACTCATCAAATAAAAAGACCCTGGAAATCAGCAGAGCCCAATCAATCTTTGATGAAAAACCAACAAACATCCAGCCTGCGCCTTTCGCTCTCTTGGGCAAACTGGGGGGAAAGTCATGGGTAAAGGAGGATGGGGAGAGAGAGAAGAGCGAGTCAGGGAGGGAAGGGATGGGGAAGGCAGCAGGGTCTGGGGGAAGCTGGCAGCTCTCAAGTCAGATGCTGAGCTCTGGTCTGCCTTTGCCCCTTCCCCCCTGCAGTAAAGTCCCCTCCAGGTTCAAGGAGGGCTAAGATCCCTAGAATCTGGGGACCGGGAAGACTTCATGTAAACCTCTTACTGTTGTTGCTCGGTCATTTTCAGCTGTGTCCGACTCTCCGTGACCGCATTTGGGGTTTTCTTGGCAGAGATACTGGAGTGGTTTGCCATTTCCTTCTCCAGCTCATTTTACATCTGAGGAAACTGAGGCAAACAGAGTTAAGTGACTTGCCCAGGGTGACACAGCTAGTGTCTGAGGTCACATTTGAACTCAGGTCTTCCTGACTCTAGACCTGAAGCTCTATCCATTGCACCACCTAGCTGCACTATATAAACCTCTTAGGACATAGTAAATAAAGGAGAAGTGTGTGTGTGTGTGTGTGTGTGTGTGTGTGGTTGTGTGTGTGTATGAGAGAGAGACACAGAGACAGAGAGACAGAGACAGACAGGGACAGAGGAAGAGACAGACATGGAGACAGAGAGGAAGAGAGAGAGGAAGAGAGACAGAGACAGAGACAAAAACAGAGAGACACACAGAGAGAGACAGAGAGACAGGGACAGAGGAAGAGTGTGTGTGTGTGTGTGTGTGTGAGAGAGAGAGAGAGAGAGAGAGAGAGAGAGAGAGAGAGAGAGAGAGAGAGACAGAGACAGAGAGAGACAGAGAGACAGAGAGAGACAGACAGAGACAGGACAGAGAGACAGGGACAGAGGAAGAGACAGACATGGAGACAGAGAGGGAGAGAGAGACAGAGACAAAAACAGAGAGACACAGAGAGATAGACAGAGAGGAGACTGGGATTGTGTTCGCCTCGTCCTACCCTTCTGTTGCCTCAGTGTTCACCCAGACAGGAATGATCACCTTTCCCCCCCACAGGATAGCCCATGGCAATACCAATCCACATTTCATCAGCCCTTCAGGGTTATGTAACGCTTTCCTTCACAGCCTTGGGAGGCACAAGGCAGGTTCCCATCCCCATTTTATAGAAGAGGAAAGTGCTATTTAATAGATGACCCCCAGGGCATGACCAAGCCCTTTCACCAATCTGAACAGGTGCCTATCAGGAGCCATTCCCCTCCTTGATCACCTGTAACTCACGCATCCGATCGATTACTTCAACTGTCAGCTGGCTCCCATGTACAGAATTCAGAGAAGTGTGGGAAGAAAGCGAAGTGAGCAGAGCCAAGAGAATAGTACACACAGCGACAGAAACGCTGTCAGAAAGAAGGAGCCCAAGCCACAGGAAGCCCAAGTCTGCAACATTGCCTCAACCAACTCTGGCCCCACAGTAGAGAGGAGAAATGTACCCCTTCCCTTCTTTGCAGAGGTGGGGGCCTATGGGTGTGGAATGCTAGAAACAGTCAGACTCAGCTAAGATTCTGGTGAGTTCCCGCCCCCAGCCCTCCTATCCTTCATCATGTGGGGTGGGGACAGGAAGGATAGAGTGGGGAATGGAGTGACATGAACGAGGATTCCTGGGTGTCTTTCAGGCTGAGGGTGTCCTCTGTGGGGTCCAGGCACTTCTTTCCTAGCAGGCCTCAGAGGGCTCGGGGCCTCCAAACACACTTAGGTAACTGTTGTTTCCACCACCTACCTGGGCTGGAGACCACTGTTTGACTGGGGCCTGCCCTTTGGACTTCAGGAACGTGCGGGTCTGCAGTGGACAATCTCATTCCCTACTGCCTGGAACATCAGGGTGACCTCCACCCACACAAATAGCTGGCAAATCACCGTGTCAACTGTTCTTCCTTTTGGACATACTGTGCTAGGACCTCATGGGGGGAGCCCCACAACGGAAGGGCTGGTCTGACCCCAGACGCCTCGGGACATTGGCTATTGGGAAATTGGATTTCGCTGCCCAGGAGAAACGAGCTTAGCCTTTGCTCTAACTGAGGCTAAATCTGCCTTCGCGCCTCCCTCCGGGGCTCCTGGTTCTGCCCTCCAGGGTCACCCTGAACAAACACCTCCTCGGTGCCTTCCGCAGGTGTTCCAGCCCGTCAGCGTCCCGCTTACCTCCTCTGAACGTCCTCATCTCATCAACGTCCTTCCTAAAATGTGTCCAGAAAGGGAGGCGATGTTTTCGATGCTGTTGTGAGCTGCCGCTTCAGGGGAGGGGCCTTGCCCGCTCCCTGCATACGTTTTTGAGGAAGGTTGGGGCGAGTTGTTGAACCCCTAGTAGCCCCACTTCTCTCCCCATTTGGGAGGGAACAACCCGGCATAACCCTGTGCATGGAAAGCAACCCCGCCCGATGGGGAAGAAGACTTCCATCGTCCCTGGGCCTGGGTAGGAGTCCTTTCGGTGCTGTTTAGTGTGGCACATAGAAGCTAACCCGCCAGCGCCCTTATGAGCCCGAGGGCTTGGTGGGGAGCCCGGAGCCCTTTTGGAGAATCGCAGGGAGCTAGGTAGAGACGTTCTTAGGGTGTCCCTGAAGGGCGACAGAACACCAGCCTCGGCCGTCCCAAACTGCCCCTGGATCCTCATGGCAGGAGACATGTAGGACGCCGGCTACAGACGTCATCCCTCTGGGTGTCCATCACAGCTGATTAAGCTTACGTACAAGTAGGGCAGCTTGGTGGTGCAGTGGCTAGAGCACCGGCCCTGGAGTCAGGAGGACCTGATTTCAAATCTCGTCTCAGACCAGATACCTGACACTTACTAGCTGTGTGACCCTGGGCAAGTCACTTAACCCTAATTGCCTTGCAAAAAAACCCCAAACAAACAAACAAAAAAGGTTAGGTACAAGGTGTGCACCAAGTGCGTCTCCTCCTGCAGAGAGAATCACTGAAACAGAGGGGTTCCCTCTCTAGCCTCAGTTTCCATATCTGTAAAATGAAAGCATTGAATGACATCATAGATTCAAAGTTTGAAGGAACCTTAAAGGCTACTGAGTCCTGCCACCTCATTTTACAGATGAAGAAACTGAGGCACAGAGCAGTGCCTGGAGCCTCTGGGCTAGCGGGTGTGTGAGGAGGCGTCTGAACCCGGTTATTCCTGACCCCACATTGCCTTTTCAGATGATCCTGGGGATTCCTCGGGTGGAAGGATCTTAAATCTGAGGCCAGAAAGTGGGGTAAACACTGGAAAGTGGGAGTGTCCTTGAGAGGGCATGGGGCACGGAAGGATGCACGGAATCCCCCAGTATAGCGGCTATCAGGAAGTGGCTGCTGAGGACAGTGAGCGTCCTTCCCCTAACGACCTGTATCCATGGAACTCAAAGACGTATGAGAGAAGATGCCCCCACTGTGGAGTTCTAGAGCCAGGCCTTGGAGCTGGCCTTCTCCCCGGCGCCTGTGCCCAGGGAGCTCCTCCACATGACTCACCAACGCCAGGATGGCAGATGAGCGTTCCCTCGGCCCTCCCCCTCGTGGCCTGTGCTTTAGACCCAGCTCGGCACTGCCTGTTCTGGGAGCGCTTTTAACAGCTGGCTCTCTAGGAGGGAGAAATGCACCCTTTTATCTACTCGGACACTTTCTCCATCATTTCCTAAGTCTAGACAGTCAATGGATTTCCAAGGTGGAATGCTCCCACTGAAAACAGCAATCGTCAACTCTTGGAGCGGATCCAGAGGGTTCCAGGACAGCCCTGGTTGTCAGCTTGGCCTTTGGGGATCCCTGTGGCCCGGAGCTGAAGATGTGGCTTTAAGCCAGGGATTCTAACCTGCGGTGGGTGACCTGGGATGGAAAAAAAGACATCGTTACTTCCCTAATCTCGAGTTGAAATTTCTCATTTCCTTCAACTATGAATTTTAAGAAAACAAGACTCAGGGAAGGGGTCCGGAGGCTTCCCCAGAACGCCCTGGAGGTCCGTGACACACAAAACCCCCAAGATCCACCCCATCCTAACCGATTTTTCCCACCCAGTGATTTCTCTATGTCCCAGTCCCTTCAGAGCGGGGCTTCCTCCTGGACGTGACGTCCTTAGAGATCTCCAGCACCCGCCGCTCTGTCGATCGCTGCTCATTCTCACTTGTCTGTTCTATTAAACGAACTGGCTTCTCAACGTTTTAGCTGGTCAAAGAGTGCTATTGGTAACTGCTTTAAAATATAGCACAGTATCTCCTTCCTGCCTCTTCTCATTGTTTCTTTTGAAATTTGAAGCCCCGTTGTTTTTTGTCCAAATGAATTTTGCAACTTTTTTTCTCTCATTCTATAAAGTAACGCTTTGGTAGGTCAATTGGCCCCGTATAAAACCTATACATTAAATTAAATAGTACCATCATGTTTATTATATTAGCCTGGCACTGCCAGAAGCCACAACCAGCTCTCCAATTTTCAAAATCTCCCTTTGTTTCTGTGAGGAAAGTCTTATGGGTGTGCTGAGCATCTTGGCAGGGCCACTCCCCAGATCTCCAGGCATTTTGTAATTGCTTTAAGAAGAATTTGTCTTTCTAACACTTTCTCCTGTTTCTGGTAGTAGTGTATAGACATTTTGTTATTTTGTATCCAGCTCATTTAGTCAGTCAGTCAATCAACAAGCATTTATTAAGAGTTTACTAGGTGTTGTGCAATGCACTAAATGCTGGGGAAAAGAAAGAAAGGAAGGAAGGAAGGAAGAAAGAAAGAAAAGAAGGAAGGAAGATAGGAAGGAAAGAAACAAATAAAGAGAAAGAAAGAAAGGAAGGAAGGGAAAGAAAGAAAGAAAGAAAAGAAGGAAGATAGGAAGGAAAGAAACAAATAAAGAGAAAGAAAGAAAGAAAGGAAGGGAAAGAAAGAAAGAAAAGGAAGGAAGATAGGAAGGAA